TACGATTTTCATGGAAAATTCACAACATGGCGCATACCAAAAGAAGGCTCATCAACTCTAGACAGCCTACTTTAGCCTTTTCAAACTAGTTTCAGGCTACCATTACGTCCTATCAACGTGGTACTACTAAATCAGCAAATACCCATTTTGACATAAAACTAGGTCAGTTGCTAATCGAGATTGAAGTATAAAAACTAATCCCTTCGCTAAATAGGGTAAATGAGGGGTAAACCCGCTAGTTCCCACATACATTTCTGCGTTCACTAAAACCAAGTAATAAATTAGAGCTATAGTAGAAGCTCTAGAACCAGCTGAACAACGAGTAAATTAATAGTATTAAACTTGAAAAAAATACAACCCAAAAGGACCATAAAAAATAGATGTCGTAAAACGATTCAAAACCAGCGTTTTCGAGCACTTCATGAGTAAAATTTTTGAATACTAACACCTTGGAGATCGCGCATGTTCTACGTTTTGCGGCCGCTTCAGATTTCAGGGGATTTTTTAAAAATTTTGTCAACCAAATTGGAACAAAACCTGTTGAATGATCTAGAAGAAATCTTATTGAATGAAAAGGAAAACGAAGACAGAAGAAAAACTTGATACTTGTTCAACAAATGTGGGTCATAAGGTCCCAAACAGTTGATAGACACCACATATGGGTTGCACGGGCTCCAAGGTGTTAAGTTTGTTTCTCGTGAGCAACAAGTGATCGATAATCGATCGGTAAGACCACTTACGAGCCTGAGCATCTATCGGTTAGGTGTAAGAGTTCTCCTAACCTCAAGATGAACGGGTTATGAAACCTAATCGATCCCGTTTACCTTCAAAATCTGAAGAAACGACGCAAAACCGATCACAATAAAATAAATCACTGAAATTCTTCCTACAATCTAACCACACGGTGAATCTCCTTCAAAACTAGTAGAATCTCTCTCGGCGAAAACCTCAGAAAACGATGAATCGATATCGATCAATATCGCTTGCGTCAAGGGTTTTACCAGTCGGTGAACCATAGTTTATTTCCGCTTAACAAAAAATCTTTCCGAGTACACGCACACAAACGAACAAGTACACATATAAAGCGCAATCGAAGCACTATCGATTTCCTATCACATTATCATCGTTAGTTACGGTAGGTAATTAGATTTCTCTGAATAAATTTACAGTATACAATTAATCGATGAACATCAAACAACACAACGTTTCTTGTCTAGAATAAGATAAGAAAAATCCGGGGATAAATATGAAAATATGCGAAGCCACTAATAATTTACACTTACTGTACACTGGGCATACTAACTAGTACTCCCATAATGAAGTAATCGATATATTGATCGATTCGTTGGAAAGGAATCAACAATCAACGCAGGAAAAACACTTCTGTTAATAAAGGTGATAGGAAAGGCTTCTGCAGAAACATCTAAAATTTTTAGCGGTATATAGAAAATTCATCAGCAATAAGGAGAAATTGAGATTCCTCCTCAAGTAAAGAGAGCAGCACTGAAACAACGAGACATTCCTCTGACAGAATAAGCGAGACAGAGAGAGAGACAGAGGTGAAGTTTCAAACGAGGGTGAATCCTTGCGTATGCTGGATGGAGATCCGCAAGCGGCGCAACAGTTCTTTGCTGTCGGCGATATTGGGCAGGTCGAGCAGGTTGAAGCAGGTGTGCGCAACCGGTAGCACCTCTGGAGCTGTCGGTTGAACGTACATCTTCATCGATGACATACCACCAACCGGCAGTCGCGTCGAACCCATTAAGAACTGTAGAAATTGCTGAAAAAGTTGTAATCAAGTGAAAACTTGAATCCGTGGGAAAACGAAAACTAGCCTATGAATTGCAAGAAAAAGTTGCATCGATGAAAGAAAGGAAAAATACATGAAATATAGGTTACCAAGTATATAGCTTGCTGAGCTCTATTCACTAATTATTTCGTCTATTTTGAAAAATTTGAGCTTTATCATGAGTTTAGCAATTTTTCGCACGCGCATTCCCCCATCAAGAACTCGAAAGAAATCCTCTTAAGGCATATGATTTATCACTCTCATTTACTTCTATCCCTTCAAAAAGCAATTATCTAGGTTTTTATAACCAATACAGCGCCTAGACCAAGTGTTTTCGGCGGCCGCCAACCAGACTGGGAAAATCCCAGAAATGAGGGAATATTTCTCCATAAAAGAGGAAGAAAAAATCTTTGAAAAACCGTGTTAATAAAGAATTATAACTATGGAACGAAGAATAGCCGAGCTTATTCAAAAATGCGATCTAAACAGAACTAAATAACTGAATACAAACAAAAACAAATGACAAAAAATGGAAAGAAAGGAGAATCTATGATGAGAGCACAGTTACCAATATAAGTGAAGGGATTTTAGCTCATATTTCTACTGCTTCTCCCACAACAGCTCCACCAATCCAAGCAATTCAAGATTCTTTTCACCTTGGTAAGTTGTTAAAACCAATTACAGCAGACAGAGCTTTCAAAATAACACTTTTTACAAAATTTGAGCGAATCAGACTTTCTGACGCCAACTGTCCTCAAAAGCAAGCCCAAATACTCAATGCCCTATCTCTTCGGCAGAAAGCTATGAGAAGGTGACACAGGAGGAATAGAAAGGACCGTCTTCTAAAAAACGGGAAAAAATGAAAAGAGCATAAAGGCGATAAGCACCCATACCCATGAGATCCTTCCAGGAGATAGGGTGCGAAAAAAGAGGGAGAGGAATACAGAAAAGCTTTCCTTACATCTTCTACAAAATCTCAGGAAAGAAGCAAAATGTATAACATCAGTCCGGGTGAGAGAAAAACGAAAACAGCATCTGTGTGCAAAAACATAAGAGCGCAACTAACTTCCATACTGTTACTCGCAGCGAGTACAGGTCATGAAAAAGTTACGTTCGAAAACTCTGTGAAACCTATCCCACACATAGGAAGAGCTGCTACAGTGCAGTACAGAAAGCAATTGACAGGAACCCTTAACGGCCCTCAAAGCTATCAACAGAGCTTCGTTACCTCATCTATCTCGTCCTTAAGTTTTGCACACCAGTGTAACATAAAAAACCTTCAAATGAGTGAAACAAATCACAAAGACTCAAACAGCACTTTTCTAAGAAAGAAAAACCTTCCTCAACGCACACGTCTGCACCATGTCGAGGACTCTCCCGAAACCAAATACCGTCGAACGAACTGGCTCAAAAACTTCACTAAACTAAATGGGTTCCGTGAGCCGAATGGCGGATGTTATGATTTTGTATCAACGAAAATCGCGGTGATAAAAACTCGACGGGAATAAAAAAATGGGATCAATTACATTCAAAACGACAAAAGAAGAGGAGAAGAAAAAACAAATAAAACAAGAATAAAAATTTCTTCATGAAAAAAAGCTCTCACGGAAAAGAATTTGAGAACAAAAAAAAGCAGCCCATATTAGAGAAGAAAAAACAAAATGAGAAACTTGGATGATGACCAAAATATTATTCAAAATTTTTTCAAATTCATGACAGAAAGGCCACAAAAAATATTGACACCGAAAGGAAAAAAAAACAAAAAAACAAATCGTCCAGGACTTCGTTCATCCACTGTCAACTCAAAAAATGCCTCCCAAAAAGCGAGTATCGTTGGATGATTTGCATGATATTCACCTTTGTATTGAACGATCTGAAATTTTTATTGACTTCGTTGACTGTTACACCGATCCTCCATAAAGTACCGTAGCATGACATTAAATACACCGAGGGTGTAAACTATCAACCCGAACGAAACAATAACGAAAACATCTTCCTTTCCAATCGACTGAAGTACTCAACTTGAAACATAAATGTTTTCAAAGATCTTGGATATTGATTCCATAGCTCAGCAAGCTTTCACTTCCGTTTTCTTCAAACTCAACCTTTACGCAGAAAAAGAATGCTAAAGGGCGATGAAGAAAACGTAAGCGAAAGTTGTAGTTGCAGCGATTACGACAATCCATACAAGACTCGCTCTTCATAGTCTCAAGACTAAAACATCCTCAAAAACGATTCTTTTTCAAAGACATTTCCTTCGATTTGTCCCAATATCTGCGTTGAGTGTCCGTGAATGAACTCAATGATCTATCCCGCCAGCCGCACTCCTATCTCCTCCTCATCACAATACGGAGTTTGATCGCGATATTCCCACTTCACCACGCCCGGCAGAGCGCTACATATAGGGACTGGCTAGCAAAGACAAACAATTCACTGGAAGCTGATGCTTTGATGTAGATAACAATGTATCCGCACGCAAAGCCATCTTTGAAATACTCGTAACCGATCGTCATTGTACTAGAACTTCCACATGTCAAAACAAATCTATTAAAAAGTAATTACACCCGCCCAGTGGATTGCTTGATTTAATAGGCCCAGCACTGCTGACCATATATGGTAAAACCGGAACACAACGTTCGTATGACAGATCGATTGGTCGGCCGATAAACATAACCAGTTATGCATATCCAACCAGAGCACTACTTCACAAACGAGATTCGCGAAAATTTCAGATCTGTTACCAAGTATTCTTTTCACCATCTGCACAATCAATTCCACTCACTGAACAAATGTTCCGCTTCAGTGAACAGTGATTGTCAGTTTGGTGCTCGTGAATGGTATTAAACAAATCGGAAAAGGGGACGGTAGCGAGCGCATCACCCGTGTCCTCACAACAATATACAATTTCAAATAACGACTACTTCTGGATACGGTGGCGGCGGAACAATGTAATTGGGCTGCCTGTTTGAAAGTATTGCCGGCGCGTCAAAGATTCGTTGGAGAAAAGAGGAGACTAGCTGGCTCGTAAGCCAGCATAAGACAGAGCTGAGCTCACAATCGAGAGCGCGGTTAGCGCCGCCAGGACGGGTGCGACTAGTTGCAGTTGCACACACAGTGCCGATTTCCCACGCAAACCGGTGACATTCCCACGCTCGGTGTGGGCACCTGTCGTCGTCATTTCCAGTTGTAGAATCGTCGACGTCGTTCTTGTCTGACCGCTTACGATTTCTCGCCCTTATTACCGCCCGTGAAGTTGTTTTCAGTTTTCGCACTTCGTCCACAGGCGAACCACGCGCTGTTTACATCAGTTCTAATTGCTCAAAAATCATCCAATCGAAGGATCGATTCTATCTTGACTGTCAGGAATTCTACCAGCACAAGGTCACTATTCTGCTAGCAAATTTGTATGTGTATGAGGAATGCACGGCGCACTCCGGAAAATGATCAAATGGAATATGACTCTAGTTTTCATAACGGCTTTCTAAATGGCAACGTTGCTTAACTAGAACTGCTTGATTAATCATCGCTACGGCTTGTCAAGCCACAGCTATGCAAGGGTTTAGGAATCGGTACGCGTTATGGGATGGACAGCACTTGAAAGGCCTTATTTTCCAACTGAACTACAGCCTAACATCAAATCGATTACTGCGCGTCACAACTTTCCACTGCGTTGAACCCACAAGATGAAACCATTGTTTTCCATTGCAACTACTGCCCTAAAATCGAATGAGATTTTCTGCATTCACCAGTGGCAACTTGACGTCGTGAAAGTCTTTTTAGCCTTCAATCGATGGCGAAGGAGAAAGCAAAGGTGTTACAGTAGTATAGCGAAGGTGATCTAAATACTGAATTCTCGATGTATTACGACACTTGTATCCAATGCTTTATCCAGTGCTTGCGTAGCACTCATTTCACCTCCTTCCCTCATCTCAAGCGCTTATTCGCACAGCAGCTGCGACTCACTAGTTCTAAACTGGCAATCCTCGAAGGAGGATTCCACGATAAGAACGAAGGTCAAGGAAGGGGAAAATTGCCGAGTGGGGACCTCCTGAGAGTGAGGTCTGACACACAACTGGCAGCAAAAAATTTGCCTCTCGCTAACCTCACTCTTTGGCGCAGCTTGGCTTGAGTTAGATTGCAGAGAGGCATTAGCTTGAAGAGGCACAGCGCATAAACATGTCAATGCTACAATCAACGAGACAGGAAGGGGTCCCGTTTCAACGTTGAGCGTCTTCTCATATTTATTCCTACTTCTGCCACTCTCATCCCTGACTTAAGAAGGGTTCTTACTCATCGTAAATCTGCTTCAAATGAAATTTGAAGGGTATTTGTATTTAGATTGAGAGCCAATTGTACCACTGCCTCAAGCCTAGACCCACAACGGCTACTATAGCGAAGCGCCAGCCAGCATCGCTAATTCCCTCTCGAGATCAACAACGTGGGCAGTGTCTGCGTCGCGCAAGTCTCGACGTTTACTCTCTCGCACTCGGCCACCCAGTACAATCCTCCTTCATTTGCGTACAATGCCCAGACTTAACCACAAAAGGTACATGTGTTTCCTACGGATTTTTTTTTGACATTCTTTCATTGCTGCGAGCATTTAGCTACCAGCAAATTTCATATTGGCAAATCATTAATGTTCCGCATACATCCGCTATCATAGAAGTAGCCTTTGAATTGCTTAAAATGGTAATTCCCGAAAACCCTGGTAATAAACAGAAAATTATCACTGTCGATCTCTAGGCACCTCACAATTCGCACACTGGCAGCTAGCATCGATTGATACAATTACCTTCGATGTACTTTCCCACAGCCTATCCAGAACCGGCCTCACTCACCCATCACCTAAGTCAGTTCTGATAAGCTCACTTGGCTAAATTTCCAACGGCCACTATCAAAGCGCAAGCGCAGCATCATGGGCACATAGCGGAACTGTCGAGTTTTATGTAAGGGTATATACTCATAAGAGTTATGAGGTTCCTGTATTGACAAATGACTTCACATCTTCGAATGCTATATAAAGCCTGGAGCTCCTGCAGAGATGTAAAGCTAGAACTAGCGCAACTGTTGCATGGCGCCTTTTAGCCATGATGCTACCTTCGTGGATGGGCTTAATTTTCGCGCAAATTTCGCGTCCTTTTCGGCCTTGAATCTCAACGCCAGCCTTTGCGACCACTTAACGACAACCACGTGATTCTTTGAGTGAGTTCTTACGTTCGCTCTTTTTTCGTCCGAATATTCATTACTTCATTAGATTCGAATTCAGAGGCGCACACCCAAAAAACGGTGCAATTACTCGCTTTTCTCACTCGACTGTAGAATTCTGATGGGGAAAACCAGGCAATATCGTGGAAAAATCAAGACAAGCTATCATTTAAATGATTCCAAGATGGTCAATGTGATGTAATGGCATGTAGCGTGTACTAGGTGGAGTGCCTACATGCGCACAATGTAGGGATGAAATATTAGATTTTCGCCGTCTAGCTGGACCGAGCCTTCTATCCCCACGGGGTCGGTTAAATTGCACCAAAGTTGTCCGATAAAAGTCGTGACACGCGCTTCGGCTGGCCTCTGCAAGTCATTGTGCACGCCGAAGCGCATTCAGGTCGCTACTACAATCCTAAATGCAAGTAGAATGCGTGGCGCATCACAAAAACTATTAACTACTGCTAAGGTCTTTTCCATTACCCTTTTGAGAATCTTGCCATAAAAAGGGATGGTGATGGAACGGCCCCGTAAGAGTTCACTCATCTTATCCCTGTTCAATCCAGAAACTAAAAGATCTATGGCTGGTGTCAGACTTTGCGAATCCAATGTACGCCAGTAGCGAGCCCGCGGAGCCCGGGAGGGAGATGCACTAGTGACCCTGCGTATTGCTGGTAGCGAACCGCTTGATTTGCAAAGTTTAACAGCGGTCTAACGGATTCTTGTGTTCAGCGGTCTCAAGCCCACCCCTTTGGAGGTAATACTGGAAAACACAGAAAACGCCCTCTGAATAATGATCTCTCTGAAAAATGTCGTCATCAGATTGGCCTACACACATAACACATCACACGACCCTTAGCCAACAACTAGAAATTGAAAAGATTGCAGGCACAAAATGTTTCAGCGCACAATCGCACCTCTCACACAACGTCCCAAGAATGGACTTCCTAATTTTCCATAAATCTCGGCGTGGTGGTTGTTGACTTCTTCTGTTCAACTCCGGCACCAAGGAATCACGATCAGCCCGGATTCCAAATTGTCCCATCGTTGGCTTCTGGGTGGTCTCCAGGACCGGACTGAGTTACGGCTCTGAGAAGCGATTATGCCAAAACGTCAGCCAATAATGATCCTCATGAGGAGATGAACAGAAGATACCAGCATTTTTAGGTGTTCAATAAAAAATGCCGTTCGAAACTAAAATCCTGTAACGGTAACTAAGGGGTTACGGTATACAATGGCGCTACCTATGCCTAATAGAAGACAGCTCCAGAAGTGGATTGCGGTGAGTCAATGAGCACTCCTGAATCATTCTTCAGAACGCCTCTGGAATTTATCGACCGGAGTAGTGAATCGTGAATAGCACGAACTTTTAGCACGCCCCAAAGCAATCGGTAAGACGTGGTAAAGGCATGTTCACAAAGAGATCGATTGCGCAGAGCTACAAAAATTACACCATTGCCACTTGACTGCATTCTCTAGATGACTGACAATTAATTATGATTCTTTCTGCTAGATATGTACTTCTTTGACAAAGAACCTTCTTAAATGTTCCATAACAATGCCTGACATCATATCAATTTTGAATTGATATCAGTTCCTTGAATTTAAAAGGGATTATAAGAAAAGATAACTAAGTTCCGCTCCTTGAGACGAATGGTGGGTCCAGAAAAGCTAAGACCGCGTTCATACTAAGCGTTTGAGATTCGGAGAGAGCGCGAAAGGTTAAAAAAGATCAGAAAATTATCTAATGTACAGTTAGCTCGTTAATGGAGACAGCATTTCCTCAATGAACAACTTGATACCTGCTCTTTCTCCCCGCAAACTCTCCGAAACGCCAATTCTCCAATTTTCTCAAAGCGCCGGGCCGGAAAGTGTCCTACGAGGTGTAGCCAAGAAGCGCCATGTTGCTAACTTCATACAGTATCACAGCAGCATTCCCATGCGCTCAGAACGTGCTTTGAAGCCAGTAAGTAATCCATTCAATATTATCCACTAATTCATTGACTCTAAAGGGTGAAACGAGAGAACAGTTGGACAGGGTTAGATCTATAAAGAGCAGCCCGACGCCTTCCAGCCACTGCGCTACATCCATCTGTAACCCGAATCCACCACCCTAAAGCCTGTCCAATACTCTGCGGGAGAGTTAAGTAGTTCCTTGATCAAATACTCAGCTAAAAATAGCTGTGCACTCACACAGTACCCAGTAATGTGGTTCCTGGTACAAACACCTCACTCACTCTGAAGCAGTCTCTCCAAGCCGGTCCTCGTCGTCACCCCCGCGCACTCACAATATTGACAATTGCAATTTGGGGACTGAAGAGGACACAAACACAAAACGAACGCTACACCCATTAAACGCTGCGCACAGCCGCGAAGTTCGCAGAGTGGATCCAGCGAGGATTGGAAAATGAGGGACCGAATTTGTGCAGAGAAAAAAGCGAAGTAGAACAAATTACATCAGATCAACTCACTTCCTTAAAACTTAGAGTTACAATGTTAGATTAGCTCAGAGTCACCCACTTGCCCACAATCTAAAGCTCCAGCTAACTACAAAGTGGCCGGATATAAAAACTTCTCCAAGACGCGCCAGGCATCCTTGTTCCATTCAATATTGCGAACGTTCATAAACAGCCTGCAGCGGTTTGGGCCAGACCACGATCAAACATGAAGTCGCAGTGGACTTGCCCATCATACCCCCAACCGAAAATCTTCAACATCCTACCTCCAATACCGAAGATTGCTTTTTCATTCTGGTAAAATCTACCAACCTAACCTTCCCTCAAAAGCCTGAGTTACTAGGCTGCCGATATAGGCATGGGTAGGATGACCCTAACAAGGGAGGTCTTTCAGGGCAAGGTGCGCTTTTTGGAAACGGTTTAGTACATGTTGTAGGGACGCATGTATGGACCACAAAACCATGTTTCGTTTTCGCTGAACGGTTTTAGTAGTACCAAAAAAGTGGTGAATAATACCCTTGATGGTTCAATCCCCCGCGGCGACTAAATTTTGCAATCAAGGTTGGCGGCCACTTGTTGGCTTCAAAATGGTCCTGACGATGAATTGACATCTGATTTTGATATTTAGCGCGATTTGGCACCAAACCGTAGGCGCCAACCCAAATGCAAAATTTAGTCGCCACGGGGGATCGAACCATTAACAGTACCTTATGCTTCTTTTTTGGTACTGCTAAACCGTTCAGCGAAAATGAAACATGGTTTTGCGTTCCCTACATGCGTCCCTACAATATGCACAAAACCGTTTTGAAAAAGCGCACCTTGCCCTGAAAGACCTCCCTTGTAAGAGTAGTTCATGCGTGATTGCACTGTCCTAACGCCACTGCGCTTAAGAAAGGCTAACGGCTAAAGAGCTATCGAAACACGAGGTCTGTCAGGACGCAGTAAGATCTAATAAACATTCTGGATGAGTTAGGCGTTTGAATTAGTTCAAGATAAAAGAACAAAAAAAAAACAAAGTTGTTAGAATACAAAATCCCCCTAATTGAAAACCATATTCTGGCACAGTCCTCTTTTGAGTTATCGCAGTCTTCAAATTCGTACCAATTCACCCCCCCCCCTACTCTTACTAGAATGGGTAAGAGATCAAATGCTGTCTCAAGTCGAGAATGACGCTTTTTTTAGTTCCATTTTCTTCCATTCAGCTTGATAAAAAGAGCGTATGATCCATGAAGCGCTGCATCCTCATTTGACGCCAAGGCGCAAATCATGTTTTCACTTCCCGTGCTGACATTGTTGAAAACACTTGACAACGCTTCAGAATCCAGGTAATGAGGTCACAAAAGTAGCTCCATGACGTGATTCTCCGCATGGCGACACGATTTTCGGAAAATAGAGCGCTAACGTTTTTTTTTTGCTTCATGGAGTCACAGAGAACGCCTACAAAAAATGGCCGTGGATGACTGATTATGCTTCCAAGATCGCAACAACACTGACACTCATTGATGAATTCTTCAAGGGTGGAAAGTGCAATGCAATGAAAAGAAGGAACGGGGTAGCTTCTAGTTTATGTTGTCTCTACATATTTGATCATTAATTATCATTCCAATCAAAATAAAAAAAACAACTAGAAAAAGGAGAGGAACAGAGGGGAAAAAGAAAACGAAGAAGAATGATTCAGCGCATGAATCATTCTTTCTCGCCAAGGGTCACGCCAGATTTTTTCACTTCTCCTAAAGTTAACCTGAAGTTAAACATAGTTTTTAAGCGCACTAAAACTAGGACTGGAAAATGTTAACCACTTTCTGGAAAGCGTTACGCACCCAAATCCTTTGGAGATATCTGTATTTGAATACGATTTGGCCTATACGATGGATTGCAACTAACACATAAGTTAGTTCTTTTATTCTGCACGGGGTACAGGTGAACTAGCCGGCATTGGAGAGGAGGGAAGCTCGCGCTGTCCGAACAAAATCTGATCCAGGATTTGATTTCCTTGTGGCAAAGTGCGCCACTTTACTCCCTCATTTGCTTGAGATACACTGTAAACTTTCCAGGTTTTTATTCAGTTACCTATCACCATTTACTTGACCAAGCACATACTTGCTCGAATTACCACTTCTCCTAGGGTGGTTGAGATAGTTAAAGCTCGTCTGAGAAAGAGATGAAAGGAACCTTTCATTCTTTAATTTTCGCGGATACTTCCTATGAAAAAGCTAGTGAAAAAGAAAATGGTGGAGCGGTGGATATGTACTGCTGTGAAAAACGCATTGCCAGTGTCAGGCTTTGCGAATCGCTCGATTCGCAAATTCTGACAGCGGCCTGTAGGAAGACCTTCTAACAAGGGTTCCGATAGATTGCGAAGCTTTTGATGCAACTATTCCATAAAATAAGTAGCCTTTGACCAGCTGGCACTAAAGCAGCACTGCTACACTCCCGAAAAATTTCGAGCAGTCATGAAACCCAGACTTGGTGAACTGCTCAGCACCTATAGACGCGACTCAACAAAAGAGATCAGCGATTTCAGTGGCCTTAATCGCTGAGCCAGCTCCTTTGAATCGAAAACTAAGGCTGGTGTCAGAGTCCGCGATCCCTCGCAGGTTTCGCTTTCGCGGAGATCAAAGAGGGAATGTAACAGCACCACTCGGCCAGCCCATTTTGAGACCATCTCAATCCTTCAACTTGTAATCGCTATAGTCTCGTAAGAACAACTTAAGAAAGAAATCTGCCAATCTGAGGCAAAGATGGAAGCCTGGCGCAATAATCGCGAACCCAAAACCAACAACTGAACTACCACAAATCGCTACAGATTCAGCAAGTAGATCCCGCAAGTTCTTGTTTGGAGAATCGACAATACCTCCCTCCAGCTTCCTTTTGCGCAGCACTACACAGTCGTAACTCTACGAAAACGGCCAAACCACCCATCCTGCCATCCACCCTTCCATCCATTACCCATCCTTCTTCCCTTAAAAACATCTCATTCACACCGAAGTGAAGTGCAGATGTAGTGGGGAGGATGAAGCATGGGAAGCGATGAGATGAACGATTCCGACAATTAGTCGCACCTCTCTCCCATCAACGTGGCTCATTCCAACACTATCCACCAACCACCACCAGCGCAGCACACGTGATTGTGACGGGGGGATGCTAAGTGTGGAAAAATCCGGTTTCTCACTACCAGCGCATCGCCTCACCACCGTCGCCAACACACAACGACTGACGATATGACGGACACACAGGCGACAGCTGATTTGACGTGCAACTGTTGGAATTTGAGGAAGAATTTCTCAAGTTTAGGGACTCTGAAGAACCTTCAAAGATATCCCCACTAAGAAAAAGACAGTCGAATACTTCTTGAATTTGGTGTCATCATGAGAGACTTATTTTCATGATACTGTTGCTGACAGAACAACTACGAATCAACAGTGTTGCTTGTTTGAGAATTCGTTGGGAAAGCCCAAGCGAAAAATAGAAAATCAGCAAAAAAAATAGAGGTAACAAGTCCATGAGAAATACTTCCCATAATTCATATACAAAATGATATAGACATTGAAGCCCTCAGGAGAAGTCTTTCACAAAATCTGTGAATCGACCAGAAACAAAGAGCGAAAACGGGCGCTGCGACGTACCCGGCAACTAACCAAGCCGCCAAAAACTCAGATTAACCGACCTTGCGCAACTCCGACCAGTCGTAGTTTTCATTGCCAATAACTAGTTCCATGAGTTCTCGTGGTTGAAAGAATGCAACGATACGACTATTCAACACCAGTTTGAAACCGTCACGAAACGCTGCCGCTTGTCGTTCAACTTCGCCATTACGTCCAATACATAGTCGATGATGAACATAGCGCTAGAATACGAGATTTGGGCATATACGGCATTTTTCAAACGGTGTTCACAAAGAAGTACGACGAAGTACACAAAATGCGGTTTGAAACACCTTTTCATGTTGTTTTTAACGGAGGACACTCAATGAAATTTCAACTAAATGTCGCACCTCTAGACCTAAACTTTTTGACCATACTTCCACCTGAAACTCTGAGTTGATAGCCTTTCTATATTTCAATAGCTAACCTTTACCCTGCCCTTGAAATCTACTGAAGAACTCTCCAATGGTCAAGCATGTCCCTTGTTCCAGTAATATCTGGAAGAACCTCAAAACCTCACTTTCACACAGGAACATTCAATCTTACCGTACAATTTTCAATAACGACTAATCAATCCCATTGAATTTTTAGGTTTACAAAAATAACGAAAATTGACAAAACCACAAATCCAAAATAAAATAATAAAAAAATCACCTGCACATAGTCAACCTTATTGGACTGCGTGACAGGTATATCAGCTCCACCTGGTCTCAAATCCAACGTCTCAGTACTGCCAAAAGCCGCATAGGATATCGTAAAATTAAGGCAAAACACGTCCTAAAAGGCGATAAAAAAAAACTCCGGAAGAGAATATTCTCAAAAAAAGAACCCTATGATGATATATTTGCTGACCTCGAAATCATCACCCTGATAATCCAGTAAATCTTGAAGACTTCGACCTTCGATCGGACTCAGCTCCGTAAGATCTTCCAGGGTAGGCTGTTGTCCAAGCAGAATCTAATGAAAAAAATCTTTTGAACGAAACCAGAAGAAAAAAGCCACTTCAAAGCGAAAGTTACCTTGTAAAGGGCAAGAGGGAACGGGAACGCTACTAGAACCGAGTTATAAACAGCCAATCCACACAGTATACCGACCATCTTATAATAATTCACTTCTTCCACATCATATCCACTGAACCACACTAAGTGTGAGTCTGGATCTTCGACAAACATACCGTACCTGAAATCGAGTAGGTAGGTATATCAGAACAACAAATCCTTGGCAGGAACACGAGCAATACGGAAAAAATAGTCGCCTTTGAAAAAAAAAAATTGGAAAACAAACTAAACTCACTCCGAGGTGCAAAAAGTTTCTGCACAAGCTCACATCGAATGAGACTCCTTTTTTAACGCCACCTCGATGATGAAGCATCCTCCGCTCTTTCGTCCCATTGAAATGGACCCTGAACTAAAGCCGCTTTGTAAAAGTTTTTATGAGCAAAGCATCGTCAATGTGCATCCCTATCACTTATTCAAAGTTAACAAATGCTGTTCACGATTTTACTGAGGTGTGCACATGTGACCACAATATTAGAGAACAATACACAACCATGCCTTAGCATAATCGCATGTTTTGAATAAAGGATAAAAGGATAAAGCATTTGCCGTTGATCAATCCCTTTTGGGATGCGGCACGCATTCTACTTCCATTTGTACATTCGTAGTGGCGTTTGAATGCGATGTGGCCTATACAATGACTTGCGGGGCCAGCCGATGTACAAGTCAGTGTTTTTATCCTCCCAGACAAGTCTGGTACCAATTAACCGACCCCGGAGGGATGGAAGGCTTGGTTGGCCCGGGCGACTCACGACCCAGGATTTGATCCCCGGACCGCTCGCGTGGTAAGCGCGCCACTTGTCACTACACCACTTCCGCCCTAGTTTTAATGCAGCAAATAAACAAAATCATCTCCTATTACTCCAATTAAGAGCAGATCCATAGCATTTCGAACGAGCACAGCTGTTCACTTAATCGCGTTCCCTAACAATCTTTTTTGATGCACGACTTCCTTCTGTGAAAAAAAACGTTGGCATTGGGAGCAAGGAACACATACTGCGTATAGCAGACAGGGAGAATGAACTAAGAGAGCACTTGAGATGGCGGCAGCAATTCAGTAAATGAATGGGCAATTAATAAAACACGTCGTCTTTTTACACATCAACTGCATTTGCAATTGTAGCTTGAAAGAGCCTTATTGGAAGATCGAGTCTCTCGCATTGCTATGGTTCCTAGTCAAACACATGAAAAAACATACACTTAACGTAACCCTCAAAGGTCGCTGCAGATATCGCCGATCAGATGATAAAAGTCCATTGATTGTATCCTGTACGATATGGTGTCGTCTCATCAGTCGAACTGCTGAATAAATGGTTGTTCCGAGAAAAAGATCAACTCCCAACAGCATCCAAACCTTAGCGCCACTTCATCCTCGTCTGCTAAATATCGAGAGACTTTCACTATTATGAATTTAGTGGTGAAACGTCCTTACTAATAATTATACTGTAAAAAGTGATTGCAGCTTCACGGATATCGAGACGTTCACACCTAAGCATTACTGTTACATCTTCGTTCTTTAGGCCTTCGTATTTCATTTCACTTAACACCGTACTGCAGCAACTAGGTGTTGCACTACAGTACTATTTCCCAATCTCGCCCATGTCGATAGGATCTTTCCTGCTGATGTTTGACTTTTATGTCTGCGAGTATGGCACTCGGCTTAAAGTGCGTATTAACAACTTTAAAAGAACGGCCAATCGTAGCTTGGCGAGCTAAAAAAAGCTCAAAGCACGAATGCGAACGGAGAATCGTATAAAAGTGAAACAAAAAATAACAGCCAATTCATTAACTTTCTGGAATATTTTCGCCACACATCTCCATTGAGCGGCACCGAATCATATTAAAGTGGGAGAACCTGGTCACTCACAATTCACTAATAGTCCGCATTTCTGAACAACATATTCGCCAGATAATCAAATTAAAATATGTTTCATTATTGCCTGTAACTGTATCTTGTTGGTACGCGCCTTTATAGGGTCACTCATTGGGCACAACTAATAGCAAGCTTCAACTTCTTTGCATTCTGGAGTCATCTACTCATTTCCTGGACTCGGGAGCCCTTCAAATGCAATTGTTCTTACATCACGCACTTACCAAATATATGGTAATTCTTAACCCATTCGACCAAAAAAAGAAAAAACTTCAAAGAACTCTACGGCCAACAGAAATATGCATAGTGCCCTAGACATGAGAACAATATTAGTCCTTCGGGAAAGTACAACTAAACAGCAGAAAGAACATGATGGTTACCTGCATGGAGATAACCGCTTCAACGTATAGCAGCTCGCCCTTTGCGGCCGCATTCATCAGAAACGGATAACTTGACCAACAAGTGACTCGAGTCTCTTTGCCTTCCTGAGCATATTTGATAGAAGAGATAGTATTGACTTCAAAATTGGAAGAAAAAATTCGAAAATAATTGGGAACCGCAAAAGGCAACTTGTAGGGAAATTCAAGTTTTGAAATGATTCGTTAATTAAGTATGTAGAATGTAAATATTTCCAAACTATAACAACTTTCATTCTACAAAACCATATAAGTGAATAACATCGAAACTCTGACCTGATAATGAACATCATATCTTCTTACCTGACCATGTGCCCATTTTACGTAGTCCATTTTTAAATTGTAGTTATCAGCGAGTTCATGGACGTAAAAATTTTCCAACGGAATACTGTTCGTGACCTGAAAAGAAAATGCACCAGTTCTGGACTCAAAGCATGTTTCCGTCCAGTTAAGTAAATTTGAAGCCTGCTCACACCATGTACTTTGCAGTGGGATGACATAGGTATAAAGTGATCGCATCGTCTGGATAAATTTCCTTATCAGAAAGGGACATGCCGGCCTCGAGAGATCAGCTGTAGATCAGCTGGTCTGAACGCTGTATATCGACAAGGAGGTGGTTGGAGTTGATCGCGGGAGGTCATGAGGAGGCCACTTTTGCCAGAGGGAAACGACTTGGGCGGGAAGGTCCCAATAAAGGGGTCCGTTTTCTACTGCAGTATTCCAGCTCCAGCTCCATACTTCGGTGTTCCAGAGCTCTGATGTTCGAGTTCCCAGTACCATGCTCATAGTGTTGCAGTCGATACTTTGTGTGGTGCCCGATTACTGTGGTTTATTGAGAGCTGTACGTCTTGCAGGAAAGAGGGCCTAGGCTCTGGAGAGTAGCCTTAATGGGGTGGTGAAGAGTGACTCGTCAGAGAGGAGCTTGAGTGGCTCATCGATTTGGCCTCAGTGGCTTAAAGAGGAGAGCCCTAGTGGCCCCGCCGGAGTAGCTTTATACGCCAAGGACGTTAGTGACTAGGTCAGTTGAAAGAGCTTCGAGAGAGAAACCCTTGTGGCTCGACGGTGAAGAAGGGTTACGCATTGTACCTGTTGTGCCCACGATCAATGTATCTAACTCGACACCCCATCTACTCCAGCTGATTTGTTAGCTCATTTCATGCTTTTGGTGATTTAAGACTAATCAATAACCTTTTACCTTTTCTACTTGTCCTGAACAACAGTCACGGATATCCCACGTCGCACCACACAAATACACTAATTTACACACTGTCGGCCACGACAAGGTCAAAGAAGGGGAATAACCTAATAAAAGCTACACAATGACTTGCGGGGGCCAGCCGATGTTCAAGCATGTTTTTATCCTTCCAGACAAGTCTGGTACCAATTAACCGAACCCGGAGGGATGAAAAGCTTGGTTGGCCCGGGCGACTCACGACCCAGGATTTGATCCCCGGACCGCTCGCGTGGTAAGCGCGCCACTTGTCACTACACCACTTTGACGGCTTCCCCTAGTGAGAAAAAATCATGGCGGACTTCCCCTACATTTGAGCGACCAAAACCTCGCACGCAACCACCCGATCATGCCCACGCGCACCTCGCCAGCCATCCGGCCCGTCCCTCCACCCATATCGACGCGAATCGCAGGTACCATCGACTGGCCTAACCATTCCGTTTCCAACCGTTTTCTCATAGACATTTCTTCTCCACTTACCGGCAACCACCTTTAGTTTTCTACATGGGCAACTGCCCCCTTTAACCGACACATTGCGGACCGCCGTTGTATGAGTACCTTCGTATATTTTTTATATTTTTCAAAAATGTATCACCATTAATCTATCAACAATTTTATCAGTGATGACACGTATGGTTTCCCGGCTCTGAAAATGACTGCAAACAGTTCAAGAGCATTGAAAAATGTCAAATAAATCAGATAAAACTATGATGTTTTTCGTGGCGAAATGTTGCGCGCACACTGGTGGCAACCAGTGCGGGTGTTCGTTTTAAAACGCGAGATTGTGTTTAATCTCAGGTGATCCATTCACCTGCTTCAATCTACCGTACAACCTGGTATCACAGGTATAGTGCTAGTATTCGGACTGAGTTTCTTCGATCGCCTTTATGAGCACAAAAACTTCAGGTGAGTTTAAAATGCCTCGCATCAGCCATAAAACACCAGTTGCTAAATCTTGATAAACTGACCGCCTGCGCCCTCCCAAGTCGCCGTGTGATGTAAGCGAAGACGGGGTCGAGCCGGGAGTTTGGAAGAAGAAGCCCTCCTCACTACCTTAAGGATTTACCCCTCCTTTTCAAAGATAAAATTGATCACCACTCTAATGGCATCAAATCCGTGTGTTTCCAACCGGACTGAAGGAGGGAGATTTGACCTCATACCATTCGAACGGCAAGACCAGAAGAATTCCACGGAAACATAGTGCAATGTTCCAGCTCAAGCCCTTCTTGAGCTCGACGCGAAGACGGGTGTTTGGAACGATGAGCAAGGACTTTCTTCTACCGAGGCAGAAACGTTTCAGAAGTAATCTGCCGTGATATGTCCATCGATAGCGGCATGTTTCTGATGTGTGAAAAGTTTGCGGATGCGCGCCATGCGCAAAAAAATCCTTTTTACGTAGCCCTGTAGGGTTAGGAAGGCATCTTGTCTTAGTAAATGGATGTGGAGCGCTTTCTCACCTTATTAATTGCGCATAATGATTCCAAAATCTCCAGAAATGCCCTGCACTCTTGTGGATCCACCTTTTCCTTCACCAAACATCGTACTGCTGACAGCATTACTGTGACGAAGCGATTGAAATGTCGTACAGGTAGCTTAACCCACCATTTTTCTGAAACACATTCAAATATGATCCAAAGCGAACAGTCTGTGCTGACCCATCCTTCAGGGATTGGATGCCACGCATTTAATTTAGGATCGTTGCAGCATAGAGGATGACCAGCTCCTTACCTAATGAGTTCCGGAACGCTGGTCGAAGCTTCGATATTGACTCAGCAAACGGCAAGTGTAGCCGGGTTACCGTGTCTTTCGTCACATTCGTTGCGAAACCATGAAACCATACTAATATCAAATATACCCGGAGAGCTTCTACTGATGCCATCGCCGAGGGATTGAAGTCGTCCGCAAAGACAGACATGTTCAAAGTCTCAATGATCTAAATGCCATATGATCCTTTTTGGTTGCTAAAAATGACCGCCTATGAGACGTACCAATTCGGCGTACTGACGGGCATCAGATGAATCACCGAGAGCACCGAATGTCTCCATCACGTCATCCAAATTCACTCCACAAACTTTTTCTCCATGCAGAAAATGTCGCTCGTCTTCAAACAAAAATGAACCATTTATACAGTTTACCGACGATAAAACAGATTCGAGGAGTCTGAAATCGGAAACGATACATAGCTGAATTCACTCGAATGACTACTTTCTTTTCACTTCCTAACAATTCATGCGTTTTAGCGTATCAAAAGTCGCAGTGAGCTAATTTCGACCTTGCTAACGGCTAAGGATGGGCTAATGAGCCCCTAACAGCCACTTGCCAGACTCAATAGAATACGTAACTGCTACATGGTACGTAGTGGGGAAGGGGGGAGAGGGGAGGTAGCCTAGCGATCAAAGGCACTGCTTACCATGCATATGTCTGGGGATCGAATCCTAGATCGTACGACGCCCTTGTCTGTGAGTCTTTCTTCCCTCTTGGGTCGCTCAGTTGGTATCAGACTTGTCCGCGAGGACAAGAACTGGCACTGGCTCGTACATCAGCTGGCCCCGCAAGTCACTGTGGGGGCCAAATCACATTTGAAGTGCACCCACGACTCTAACGTAGAACGCGTGGCGCATCTCAAAAAGGGATCTACCAACAACGAATGCTTTATCTTTATCGGTTTATTCAACC